GTGTCTCTCTCTGTCCCAAAAATAAAAATAAATGTTGAAAAAAATAAAATAAAATAAAAACATGGGGCACCTGGGGGACTCAGTTAAGCATCAGACTCAATTTCAGCTCAGATCATGATCTCATGGTTGGTGGGGTAGAGCCCTGAGTTAGGCTCTGTATAGTGTGAAGCTTGCTTGGGATTCTCTTCTCTCTCCCTCTCTCTCTCTCTCTCTCTCTCTCTCTCTCTCTTTCAAATAAATAAACATTTAAAATAAAATAAAATAAAAATATTTTCAAATAAATAAACATTTAAAATAAAATAAAATAGGGGCGCCTGGGTGGCGCAGTCGGTTGGGCGTCAGACTTCAGCCAGGTCACGATCTCGCGGTATGTGAGTTCGAGCCCCGCGTCAGGCTCTGGGCTGATGGCTCAGAGCCTGGAGCCTGTTTCCAATTCTGTGTCTCCCTCTCTCTCTGCCCCTCCCCCGTTCATGCTCTGTCTCTCTCTGTCCCAGAAATAAATAAACGTTGAAAAAAAATTTTTTTTTAATAAAATAAAATAAAATAAAAATATAAACTGCAACACAGACTTATCAAAGATACAAATGAATTTAATGATACATGTCAAAGCAGACAAATGCCATTGTGTGGGAGGAGAGTAGGATGAGGGAATGGAACAGGAATGGGACTTGACTTAGTAAAAAGCTGTTATCCTTAAAGATAAAACTGTCAGTTATTTTATCAGCAAAAAATGGGTTATTAGGGAATAGCAAAGAATAACAATTTAGGACAAGCAAGCTATGGCAAAACCATAGGCAAGTCTGGAGAACAAAGGAGAGAGCTGCTCTTTTACAGAGAAAAAGGGGAAGGTGGGAGGAGCTGTTATAAAAGCAAAGTCCATTGGAGCAAACTAGGAGTTCAAAGTACAGTGGCTTTTCATTCCAGGATGAGTGGTAACTTTATAATTAGCCTGTAGGGTGCAGAAATCTTATACCCCAAATAGGTAAATCCACAGATAGAATTCATATTGGTGGTAGAATGGGTTGAATAGTGTTCCCAAATAGATATGCTGAAGCCCTAAGCCCCAGTGCCTGTGAATGTAACTTTATTTGGAGATTGGGTCTTTGCTGATGTACTGAACTAGAGTGGGCCCTAATTCAGTAATGGGTATCTTTATAAAAAGAGAAGAGACACAGAGGGAAGGTAGCCACATGAAGACAGAGGTAAAGCAAAGATTGGAATGAGCCTGCCATAAACCAAGGAAGCTGGAAGAGGCAAGGAAAGATTCTCCCCTAGAGCCTTTGGAAGGATCATGGCTCTGCCAACACTTTGATTTCAGACTTCTGGCCTTCAGGACTGTGAGAGGATAAATTCCTCATGTTTTAAGACACCCAAATTGTGGTCCTCTGTTTAAAGCAGTCACAGGAAAAAAATACAAGCGGTCACCAGTGTCAAGGGGAGGCAGAAAGTAGGAGCAACTGTTTAACAGTTGCAACTGGGTACAGGGTTTCCTTTTCAGGTGATGGAAATGTTTTGGAACATTTCCGGTGAAATTGTTTAGAACTAAATAGAGGTTGCATAACATTGTGAATGGATTAAATGCCCCTAAAGGAGTGATAGGTATTAAGGAGGATGCTTGTGATGAGCAATGGGTGTTGTATGTAAGTGATGAATCACTGAATTCTATGTCTGAATCTAATACTACATTATATGTTAACTAACTGGAATTTAAATTAAAACTTGAAATAAAAAATAAAATAAAAATAACGCATACGTACATACATCCTGCTGTGGTTTTGATTGATATCGAATTGAATCCATAAAATAAAACAGGAGAATTAACTATTTGAGACAACATGGATAGACCTAAAGGGTGTTATGCTAAGTGAAATAAGTTAGACTGAGAAACACATACCATAGGATTTCACTCATAGGTGGAATCTGAAAAAAATGAATAGGGGGCAGCTGAATGGCTCAGTTGGTTGAGCATCTGACTCTTGATTTTGTCTCAGGTCATGATCCCAGGGTTGTGGGATCAAGCCTGGCATTGGGCTCTGAGCTGAGCTTAAGATTCTCTCTCTCTCCCTCTGCCCTTCTTCCTAACTCGTGCACTCGTTCTCTCTTTCCAAAAAAAAAAAAAAAAGAATTAAAAAATAAAGATGAATAAACAGATAAAAAGTAGAATCAAACCTATAAATACATAAACAAACTGATGGTTGCCAGAGGGACAGGGGGTAGGAGGTTGAACAAAATGGGTGAAGGGGAGAGGGAGATACAGACTTCTAGTTATAAAATGAATGAGTTGCAGGAATAAAAGGCACAGCATAAGGAATAAATTCAGTGATATTGTAATAGCAATGGGTGGGGACTTGTGGGGAATATAGCATAATATAAAAACTTGTCGAATCACTATGTTGTACCTCTGAAACTAAAAAGCATTGTCTGATTATACTCAAATTTAAAAGAGTAAAAAAATAAAATTAGAGGACATATTTTTAAAGGAATACTTGAGGAGAACTGACAGCTAGTGAAGCTTCTGATCTGTGAATATGGTATAAGTCTACTTTGTATGTTGGCTTTAATTTCTTGTCCAAATATTTTATATAATTCCCTTATGCATATATAAGAAAATAAATAGGAATTCTTATTTTTGCCCAGAAGAAGTAACATAACAGACACTCATTCTCACAATTGATGGAGATCTTTCCATGTCCATACATAGAGCATTCTCATTGTTTCATGACAAATAATACTGTACCTACATCCATAATGTGTCATTACATATGCAGCCAGCTTCCACAGATGTACTTTGGGTTTGTTTCCAACTATACTGAAGCTGTAATGAATGATGTTGGTTATTTGAGCAGCCAGCTCTAACTCCTCACTCCTCCTTTAACCTGGCATGTGGGCCACAGCCTTAATAGGGGTCAGGAACTCAGAAAATAGTCTGGCTCTGGAAGTGGTTTCTCCTAATCCAGCCCCCCATTTTCCAGTTTATGGGAGTGGGGAGTAAAGCTCCAGGGTAGCCCCTCCAGTCTCTGCCTCACCTTAACTTCATTTCTTCTGCTCCACTCCAGTTCTCCATCAGCATAGGTGACCGTGCATATATGCACACACTCACCAAGATGTAGAAGAAACCATTTTAAAGCCTGAGCTCTTGGCTCCTTCCCTCAAGATATCATGCTTGGATGACTACTAGACAGGAAAGAGCTGACCCAAGATACAGAGTACATGGAGACATGACCTGGTAGGAGTCTCCAGACACCAGACTCAGCTACTAGAAGTGAGCGACAGTGGAGACTGTATCCAAGGAGGAGCTGAGATATACCTGCCTAGTGACACACGCAGGCCTGTAGGAACCTCTCTATAGAGCCCAGGGTGGAAAGTGGAGGAAGAGAAAGAGAAGAAAGACGAGGGAGGGATGTGGGATTGCAGAACAGGGCAGGCAAGAACCTGAGGAGGCCAGGCTCCCTGCCCCTCCCCTCTCCAGAACTTCCAGCCAGAGTACCCTCATGTCCAGGCTGTTGTTGATGCTGTACTGCTGTCCTCCAGTTGGAAGTGATCAGAGCCATGCTTCTCTGCACATCTGGACACATCCTCCTGATGCTGCAGGTGCTGCACCCCCAGTTCCACTTTCAGGTTACTATGGGCACACGGTGTAGCAGGAGTGGCAGAAGTCCTCTGACCTTTAAACACCCTTGAAACCAGGTGATCCTCACTGGCCAATTACCAACACGATTGGTTTTCCTATGTATATATAAAGGGGACCGTCGAGGAGCTGTGGGGGACAACGCGGGGGAGTGGGGGAAGCTGTGACAATGGCCGTGGGAGCCGGAGCCCGAGGCTGAAGGGGCCGGGCTGGAACTCCAGCTGAGCGAGGCGGGCTGAGGTCGCTGATGGCGCTGCCTTCCCAAAGCTGAGCTCTCTCGCTCTCCCCGGTTGGCGCCAGACCACCGACCCCACAGCTGAAGACCGACTCCGGGGAAATCGACGCCCTAGGGACGCGCGCAAGGCTGGCGGACACCGGCTGGCGGTCGTCGGGAGCGCGCACGTCTGGACGCCGCCGCGGACAATGCTGCTGCTGCTGCAACTGCTGTCGCTACTGCGGGAGCTCACGGCAGGTGACTGGGCGGAGAGTCTGGGGGCCAGGGGCAGAACCCCAATGGTTGCCCAGCAGAGCGCGGGTGGGGCTGGGGGAGGCAGGGAGAGATAGGCCACTTCCGGGTTTGGGGAACGAGGATGGTGGGAGAGCCGACCCAGGATTGTAGGAGACGCTAGGCCCTGCGTTAGAGCTCCTGTTTGCTGGCTCCCACGGTTACACTGGGATATGGATTAGAGTATACGGGAAACCGGCGGGACGTGGGGTGCTGGCGGTGACCCTGGCCTGGGACGCAGCCGATGCCATACCTTCTTGGGGGTGCCCTTGGGCACATCTGTTGGACGCCACTCGGTTTCTGGGGCCAGGTCCTCCAACAAGGCCCTGGTGAAGCCCTTGTGGAGTCAGGAATGTGAGAGCGGCTGGCACTTCCCCTGCTATCTAGCTGGGGCAGGCGCCCGCCCTTCGCGGTAGTCTCCCTGGAGCCTTAGCGAGGCTCTGTTGGGTTACCCGAGCATCCCCTGGCGTGGGTTGTTGGGTGAGGAAGATTTCTCTGACCTGGTCCGGAATTTCCATTCTTTCCCAATTTTAATTCTTCCAGCATTGGTAGCTGGGCCTGACATCATCCTGGACTCCCCCACCCCGCCCCCGGCTCCCATAGGGCACTGCCCATCCGGGCCGCATGTATACCCGAACATTTATTAGCACAGGCGGGGAAATGTCCACCATCATAGAAGTAACAATAGCTGGTCACCCTTACGCCAGGCTCTATTATAAGTACTTCACATACAAGAAGCCATTTCAACTCACAGAACACTTCTCAATTTACTGTTTACAGATTTAATGTACGGCTCAGGACGCTAGGTGGCAGGATCAAAAATCGGATTTTTTTTTTTTTTTAATGTTATTTTTGAAGGAGAGAGAGACCATGAGCGGGGAAGGGGCAGAGAGAGAGGGGGAGACACAGAAGCTGAGGTGGGCTCCAGGCTCTGAGCAGTCAACATAGAGCCTGATGCAGGGCTGGAACCCAGGAACCGTGAGATCATGACCTGAGTTTTTAAGTCCAACACTTAACCGACTGCGCCACCCAGGAGCCCCAAAAGTCGGAATTCTTAACCTTTTCTATGCCTTAGACCCGGTCCCAGAATGTTTTCAATACATAAAATGAAATATATAAGATTACAAAGGAATCTGATTGTTTCTACAAAGCTATTAAAATCTTTTAAATAGAAATATAAATGTGTGAGATGTAGAATGTATGCTTCTAAGTTAACACGTTTAATAACACACTGAATAGCAACAATTCCCAGAATTTGTAAGTAGTGAGATTAAAGCATATTTCCAGGTGTCTGCAACAACTGGATTGTGATTCAAAAACACCTGTGACTTCTGTCTGAGAACAAAGCACAGGCCCTGCTAATCCTGCTGAGCTTTGTTGCCTTCATTCATCATGAGAGAAAAGCTAAATTTCAGCCAGAGGTTAGTGAAAATAAAGAGGTTATTTTTTTCCCTCCAAGTTGAGGCTCCAAAACTCAACAGGATGCATCTACAGAAGGATTCAGCCCTCAGCTCCCCATGGAAAACACTTGAAGGAGAATCAGCTTGGATGTCTGGGAAGAAGATTGGGGAAGAGTTTGGTCCTTGGAATAGTGACCCCAAAGGCATGGGCCACTGTGTCTCTGGGCCAAGATTGTATAACCAGTCTTGGTTTTCAAGTTACATACAGCCTCTAGAGATTCTACTTACAGCACCCCCAAGTCCTCAGGTGTGATACAGGGGCATATGGGTGATTCTAGTTCTGCGTGGCAGGAATAGTCATGAGTGTGGGCACAAAGGCCCTGTAGCCTTTGTAGGGAATGGCCGGGATTGACTTAGGGAGACAGAACTCCAAACCAAAGAGGAGGAAAGGAGTGGAGGATAACCCTGGGGTTTACCAAACTGTGGGAGGGAGATGGCACACAGAGGGGAGGTAGCCAGAGGTTTTTGGCTGCCTGCTCACAACACTCCTGGATGCCAGTCTTTCCCTTTAGAAGCTAGGGAATGAGGAAGTGGCTTTCATGGGGCAGTTATCATGAGTGCTGCAGCAGGGAAGTTTGAAGTGGCCCAAACCTTAGAGGACTTGTTGAACTAAAGAAAGCTGGACCCCACCCCCAGAACTTTTGATTCAGTAGGGCTAGGTTGGGTCCTGCAAATTTGCGTTTCTAGAAAATTCCTAGGTGATGTTGATACAGCTGGTCCTGGAACCACACTAGATTCACTAGCCTAGAATGTTCTTTCCTCCTCACCAACTCCACTGCCTGGTAACTCACAGCTGGTGAGATCCCCTCCAGGTTTCAGCCTATAAGGCCCCTGACCCCAGCACATTCCCACCCCAGGGTGTTTCTGGAGCCTGGTACTTCCTGCACCACAACGCTCATCAGCCCTGCTCACCTTATTGGACCTACTTATTTAATTGTTCAATTGCCACCTCCTTGTCAGACCTGAGCTTCCTTGGGCCCATGTCTGTCTTGGTTTCTCTCTGTCCCCACACACACCCCCACCTAGCTCAGTGCCTAGCTCATAGTAGTAGGTGCTCAACAGATGTTTGCCAAATGAGTAATATCACAAGGGGAGAGGTCAGGACTGGCCCAGGTGAACAAGTGTACAAAGCTGGGCAGGGCCAGGCAGAGCCAAGAGGGCATGGGCTCTTCACCTGGCAGCACATGAGCATTACCTGGGAGGTTTCAGTGCCTCTTCCCTCCAAACCAACCAAATGTGTGTCCATAGCAGAATTGTCAAAGCTGCCAGGAGGTACAGGGGCAGCTGGTTGGAAAACCTCTGGCAGAGGTATGAGCAACCCAGCCCTGGTTTCCCTCTTAAGTGGGAACAGCCTACCTCACAAAAATGCAGTAAAAATATCATGAATTAATCCTTATAAAGCTCTGGCACCAAGACCCAGAACTCAGCCCTTTTGGTTTTATACTTGCATGCTAAGGAAGTTTCTGGTCATTCCTGAGGCAAGGCTCCTATGTCCCTCTTCCCTTCCAATGTGCCTCTTTGTCATTTCATGCCATCTCTCCAAGCAGAGACAAGGATGTGTAGGATGTTTATGCCTTGAGATTCATATTTCCCTTTTCCTTCTCCCCCATGCAGAGAGTCCCTGGGGGCTGCCTGTGGTAGCTGATGGCCCAGCATCCTTAGCAAAGGTGGTGATGGCAGAACTGGCTGATCTGAAGTTAGAAAACAAGCCATGGCCTGGAGGTAAGGCTCTGCCCATGTGATGAAAAAGGAGGCAAGATGGCAGAGACCAGAAGCTCCCCCCGCCCACACCCCCCAACCTTACAGAAGGGCATGTACAGTCTGGGAACCTGGTAGACTGTCTTTGCTTAGGTAGGGGACACAGAGGCCATACCCTCTGGAAGGTACCCCAGGGGGGCTTCACTTAGGTATCTTTCCCCACCCTCATCCCCCCCATACTCCAGCTCTCTTTTTCCCATGCCCACCTCTCCCTACCAGATAGGAAAGAACTAAGGCTAAGAAAATGATGTCCACAGAACCCTTCCTCCATGCCTATACTTCTTTGTGTTTATTACCTCACCAAATGCTCCAGTGGAGCAGGTCACAGAGGAAGAAACCAAAGCCGGAAGCTGTGAAATAAGGTCACACAGCTAGAGAGTTGTAATCCACATGGATTGTAGGGAGGTGGGGCAGATACAAAAACGTCTACAGAGATTGGGGCAGGAAAGGGGTAGGGTACCTCATTCCCCACCATAGTCAGAGAAAAAGGGAGGCTGTGCATAAGAGAGCAGGACTGCCCCTTTTGTGTGTGGGGGGTGGGAGGGGTGGGTAATGTGGCCCAGTAACCATGAATCAGCAGTGAGGGAAGGGGTGGATGATGACACAGAGCCTGAGGTAGCAGTGGGCATGTGGCCACTTTTGTGCCCCCAGCCAGCCACACACTGTTAGTCTTTATAATGTGTTCACTAAAGGGCAGGTGCAGGCCAGGGGACACCTTGAGAATCTGAATAATGCAGTCTGGCCCTGCTTTTTGCTACTGGTGTGAGCTTGGCAGTTGACTTTGCCTCTTTGGGGCTCAGTTTCCCCATAGACAGGAATAGTAGTGGCACAATACTTGCCTGATAAAATTGTCATGAGGGTTAATGGAGCCAAAATTTTGTAAAGTGCTCGGGACAGGGCCCAGCACCTAAGTGCTTTATAACTATTTTGTGATTTAAAAAAATAATACATTGATAGACTTCCCCTCATTTTTTAAACTAAAGTAACTGGCTACTAGAGCAGCTAATATGAATAAATAGAAATGTTACCTAGGAAGCAAATTGTGCACTTGCCCCAACGAAACAACCAGATGTGTGTTGGTGTCTTTCCTGCAGGCCTGAACTTGGATCTCTTGTTCTTTCCCACCTTCCCACACCTAGGAAAGAGCATGTCAGCACCTGTGCGGCCTCTTTGCTTCAGTGGTGGGAATACCAGGGTCCCTGCACCCTCACTCTGCGTTCCCCAGGCCTCAGTCTTAGTGGCAGCTTAAAGACTGGCACAGCTTTCAGAGGACATCTCTCTTCCCAGACTGTGCATCTTTCTCTCCTTTTCAGGGCAGCAGAACCTCCAGAGCTCATGGGTTTGAACTGCCCACCAAACTCACAAGACACAACAGACTTTAGTCTCATGTTATATGTATTTGTTTTCTATAGATGCTATAACAAGGGGACCACGGGGTGCCTGGATGACTCAGTCGGTTAAGCGTCTGACTTGGGCTCAGGTCACGATCTCACTGTTCATGGGTTCGAGCCCTGCGTCTGGCTCTGTGCTGACAGCTCAGAGCCTGGAGCCTGCTTCAGATTCTGTGTCTCCCTGTCTCTCTGCCCATCCCCCGCTCGTACTCTGTCTCTCTCACAAAAATAATAAATAAACATTAAAACAAAATTTAAAATAAAAGGAGGGGGGGACCACAACTTGGTAGCTTAAGACAACATACATTTATTCTCTTAGATTTCTGAAGGTCAGAAGTCCAAAATGAGCTTCACTGGGCTAAAACTAAGGTGCCACAGGAGAGCTCCCTACAAAGGCTCTCAGGAAGAATCCATTTCTTTGCTTTTTCCAGCTTCTAGAGCTGCATTCCTTGGCTCATGGCACCTTCCTGCCTCTTTCTCTGTTCCATCTTCACATCATCTTCTCTGATAGTCATGGAATCTTCCTCTGTCTCCGTTTCATAACAACACATTTATGGACTGCCTAGATAATCCTGGATAATCTCCCCATCTCAAGATCCTTAATTTTTTATTTCTTTTTATTTTTTATTTATTTTATTTTTTAACCTTTTTTATTATCTTTTTTTACAATCATCATTAAGCTCAAGATCCTTAATTTAATCACACCTACAAAATCCCTGTTACTATATAAGGTAACATTCATAGGTTCTAGGGATATCTTGTGGGAGTGGGGGGCATGATTCAGCTACCATACTGTGCTCCCTTAGTTGTGGAGGAGGCAGGACAGAAACTACAACATGCATGGCTTCCCCACCACTCAGGAGGCCCAGCAGCTACCCAAGGGCACAGGCTCTTTGCCCTCCATCACCCCACAAACAAGCAGAGCTTCTGCAGATCACAGCCAAGGAGAAGGTGGGTCACCTTAACATAGAGAAGCCACAACCTCTGTTCCTTTCAAGGCCTGCATGCCTGTTTACAGCTCCCAGCCCAGGAGCATCCCACTAATCTTAACTCAGTGGTTTGCAAGGAAACAACACCCCGAGACTCAGTCACTTCCCAGGAAGCCCACACCAGTCCAGACCTGGTATCAGTTCTTCACTCAAACACTTTCAACGTTGATCCCTCTCACCTCCCATAAGGAGGTTTCATCAGTGTGAGAAGAGGGCTCCTCTGTATTCTTCCTAAGCTCAGAAAAAGCAGGCTTGGGGCACCTGGGTGGCTCATTCGGTTAAGCATCCAACTTCGGCTTATGTCATGATGTCACAGTTCATGAGTTCGAGCCCTACATCAGGCTCTGTGCTGACAATTCAGAGCTTGGAGCCTGCTTCAGCTTGTGTCTCCATCTTTCTCTGCCCCTCCCTGCTCTCACTCTCTCTCTCTCTCTCTCTCTCTCTCTCAAAAATAAATAAACATTTAAAAAAAAGAAAGAAAGAAAAAGAAAAAGCAGGCTCTGGGGAGAGAATCTGGGCTCTTCCCTTTCTAGTTACGACTTTGGGTGCTGTACTTGCCCTCCCCTGGGCTTCAGTTCTCTCATCTGCGAAACAGGGCCAATCACATCAACTTCTCGGGTTTATCCTAAGGATCAACTGAGATGGTGAATGAAAAGCAGTTAGACTGGTGTAGGGCACACAGTGGTCACTGTCCAAAACTGACAGCTCTGATCATCATCATTGCCCTTCATGTTCTTGTTTTTTGTCCAACTCAGTAAACGCTGGAAGTGTCCACTGTATGCCAAGCATGGTGTTCTTCCAAGACCCGTGGAAACACTAGTGGCACAGTCAGATGTATTGCCCGCCTTCATGGAGTTTCATAGGGAGCCCAGAGACCCCTGAGGGATATCTGGGTGGAATCAGAAGGGGTTCCTGGAGGAAGGGACGCTGACCTTCAGACCTGAGGGCTGAGGAGACATTGGCTGAGAGAAGAGAGGGAGCAGCAGGAACTGCAGGTACAAAGCGCCTTGGCAGAGTTTGATGTGGTTATAAAATAGCAGAAGGAGTTGTGAGGATGGGGATGCATTTGACTCATCCCTTCATATCTGAATATTCAAATGTTAACCACCTGTTGTGTGCCAGCAGCTGTTGCAGGCTGGGAAAGAAGGATGATCCTTTTTTTTTTTTTTTTTTTTTTTTTTTTTTTTTTTTTTTTTTTTTTTTGAAAGAGAGAGCACAAGCGAGAGGCAGAGAAAGGGAGAGAGAATCCTAAGTAGACTCCATGCTGTCAGTGCAGAGCCCAACACAGGGCTCAACCCCATGAACCCATGAGATCATGACCTGAGCCAAAATCAAGAGTAGGATGCTTAACCGACTGAGCAGCCCAGGCACCCCAGGAGAATGATCCTTACAGTAATCTCTGCCCTTGGGGAATGGATGTTACAGGGGAGAGACAGACTATGAACAAGATAAACAGATAAAGTGCATGTTCTCTAGGAGGTGGTAATAATGCCCTAGAGAAAAACACTGTTGGGAGTGCTGGGGTTGTAAGTATTTAACAGAGTGGGCAAGGAAGGCTTTACTGGGAAAGCAGCATTTGAACAAAACCTGTTTTTTTTCTTAATGTTTATTTATTTTTGAGACAGAGAGACAGAGCACGAATGGGGGAGGGGCAGAGAGAGAGAGGGAGACACAGAATCTGAAGCAGGCTCCAGGCTCTGAGCTGTCAGCACAGAGCCTGATGCCGAGCTCGAATTCACGGACCATGAGATCATGACCTGAGCTGATGTCGGATGCTTAAACGACTGAGCCGCCTAGGCGCCTCCTGAGCAAGACCTTTTAAAAAATTAAGGGAGTGAGCCCTGGGTGAATCTCTGAGAAAGGTGGACTGAGGTTTTTTTTTAAAGATACAGCATTTGTTTTCGTAGCTTGAGTCAGGCCTGGCTGCTAAATAGATTTCATCTCCAGCATCAAGTTGAATGGATGAGTTGGTGCTTCTGGAGATAGTGGAGAACAAATATTAGGGCAGCATTTGGACATAAAGAGAAGAGATGACTAGCACTGTCTGCTATGGGAACAGGAGTAAGTGGAGAGTGCAGTCAAGATGCCACCAACTTGGCAGCAATGGTTCAAACCAGGAGTGATGGCTCAGCTTCATCAGGCATCTCTGGGGAATGAATAATTTCACGTAAATTAAGCTTAAAAACAATCAATTTTTTTTAATCATACCTTTTTTATTGTGAGACAGAAAAACAGTAATCATACTTACAGAGATGAGTGTAAAGCATGAGCAAGTAAGCCTGAGTCAGGAGCTGAGAAACTTCCTAAAAATAAAGTCCACAAGCCTGAGCAAATAAACTTTGGCCTCAGTGCTTGCTTGCCTGATTGATTGATTCTTTATTTAAACTATTTGGATACACTTATTTTCTTAACTGAAATTCTCAGTTCTTGCTCTTACTGATAAGCAAATTACTCTGGATAGGTTTCCACCGCCAATCCCATCAGTCACCCAACCTGTGGTGCAGATCCTGGCAGTGCATAGGAGCCTTATTGTTTCATATCTTCACAGGGACACACTCTCTCCACTACCACTACCTGGCCCTATCAGAGCCAGGCCCGGGCCTTCCTCAGTTTCTGGCTGTAGGCTACGTGGACGACCAGCCTTTCATCCATTATGACAGTCGTGTGGACAGAGCCAAGCCCCAGGCTCTGTGGATGGCAGCTGTGGACACCCAGTACTGGGAAACAGAGACCCAGAAGCAGAGAGCCTGGGCAAAGGTGCAGCAGGTGGAGACATGGACTGTGATGGGCTACCACAACCAGAGCAGTGGTGCGTCAGAGGCTCCTGCCACCCCACATCCTCCTTCCTTCATACTTTCAATGCTGACCCTCTGGACAGCCATGCCCTTCCAGTTGGGAACAGAGGTCACTCCACTGAGCCCATAAGAGGGTACAAGGCATGCTCCTGATGCATAGCTTTCCCACCACAAGGACCAAGCAGGGGCCATAGGGGCCTTCAGAATAAGTTGTGGCTCCAGTGGCCAGCCCATTGGGCTAGCACAGCAAGCATCCACAGAAGTTAGGGACTCACAACACCTCCCCTTCAGCTACCCATGGTTCCAGACCTCTGCAGACTGGCAGAGGCAGAGGCTTTTCCCTACCTCATCCCTCATCCTCACCAAACACTTAAATCACACCCACCCACCAGGCTCTCAGACACCAACTCTGCCATGCAGGGAGGGAAACCAAATGAACTTGAACTAGGCAGACAGCTCAGGGTGGGAAAGAGAACCTAGTTAAAGACCCCTGCTCTACCCAGTGTTAGGTATAGCATTCTCTCAGGCTTCTGCTTCCTTATCTCAGCAAAGGCTAGCTCATGCCTACTGATGGCTGCTGCTAATGCTGCATGTGTGCTTGTGGGGCACTTGTTCTCAGCCCTTTCCCATCCTGTCCCTGGAAACCCAAACTGAAGCCTCAGGTCCCAGATGCCTCAGAGGGAGTAGATTTAAAAGCCCAAGGCTGGGACAAGTTATACATTAGCCCAGGGGCCCCAGAATAATAAGCATGACCAGCCCCCAGGTGCTGTGGCAGCAGCCAGGTTCACATTTTAACATCTCTTTCACATCTCTGAAATTGGGGTGTGATTTCATCTTACCACGAGTGTATTTTAAGGACATCTTACTTCCATAAGTAGCAGAGTTTTCCTTCTAATAACAATGCCTGTAGTTATGTATGCAAGTGTTCTCACGTGAGAAGCCCAACGGGTTTCTCAGCCCTGGCCTGCTCATGAAAATTACCCAGGGAGCATTTTTTGTAAATGGCACCACTCTGACCCCCTCCCATCCTTCAGAGGCACCCATGGGTGGTGGGCTTCTCCCCAGCCTCAGGGATACGACCTATAGCCCAGACAAACCGCAGCCTGCTTGCCCACATGCACAGGCACACACAGCACTCAGCGAATGTTCGGCTGTGAGATCCGGGAAGACGGCCGTACCAGCAGCTTCTGGCAGTTTGGCTTTGATGGCCAGGACCACCTGTCACTGGACCTGGAGACTCTGAGCTGGGTGTCAGCCAAGCCTGTGGCTGTGCAGACCAAGCGTTGGTGGGAAACAGAGCGCTGCTATGCCGAATACGACAAGGCCTACCTGGAGGGCCTCTGCCTCACTTCCCTGCACAGGTACCTGGAGCTGGGCAGCCAGAGCCTCACCCGGAAAGGTAAGGTGCAGCCTGTGGCAACACAGAGGGGCCCACACTCCCGTTCTCGAGGATCTTGGCGGGGTGAGGAGATAGGCTGTGTTTCCCTGGCTCAGACAAGCCCAATTGGCCCCAGAAAGAAGGCTGACTAGCCAACAGCTTCCTCAAGTTGGGCAGCACAGAAGCTTGGACCTTGGGCCCTCATTCCAGGTGAGGTAGAATGGGGAGTTCATGCCCCATGATATGGTCTTGGTGAATGAGGCTCTGACTCTGGGCCTCATTTTATTCATCTATAGAATAAGTAGGTTAAACTAGTTGGCTCATAAAGTCCTTTGCGGGTTTAACATCCTGTGGTTCTCCTTGGGAAATGCACCTCAGGCCCCAGGGGATAGCATCCATCACTAGGCCAGTCCCTGGACTACTGGGGACTGCCAGGGAATCTGAGGCTCTTTGTCCCCACACCCCTCATGCTAAACATGCTCCTCAGACTCCAGGTGCATCCTAAATTCTTGACTCCAGCCAGCAGGGCTGGAGATACAAGGACTAGGATGGACCCTAGGGAAGGTGGGTGCATGGGGGTGCTGAGGCAGAGGCCTCACTGGCTACTAGTGGGTAGGGCTGGTCAGAACACCCAACACACCATGGATGTTCAGTGATGGACTGGTGGGATGTGAATCAGCTGAGGCAATGGGGAGGACATTCCTTGAAGGGAAGGCAGGGAAAATAACATCAAGAGAAGATGTGATTATGAGAGTAGAGTGTGTGTGGGGGGGGGGGGGGCGGTGGTCAGGGCTCAGGTACTGGAGCCTAGCCTGCAGATCCACGTCCTGGCTCCAGGACTGGCTAGCTGTGTGACCTTGGGCAAGTTACTTGCCCTTTCTGTGCCTGAGTTTCCTCATTAGTATTACAGGGATGGTAACAATAGCCCCTGCCTCCAAGAAGCACCATATTGGTGTTTTAAATGAGTGTTGAGCTCTCATCCAGCAGCAGGGGGATGTTCTACACACATATCACATGATGAATTCATCAGGAATCTCCACAGAAACAGAACCAACAGGATATGTTTAGAGAGAGAGAAAGAGAAAGGGACATATTTAAGGAATCCGCCCATGTGATTGTGGAAGCTCGGGAGTTCCAAGATCTGCAGTTGGCAAACCTGGAGACCTAAGGGAGCCAGTGTTTCAGTTTGAAACTATAGTCAGGAAAAGACTGATGCGCCAGCTGAAGGTATTTCTTCTTACTCAGACTTTTTGCCCTATTCAGATCTTCAAGTGATTGGATGGAGTCCACTCACATTGGGGACAGCAATCTGCTTTACTGAGTCTACTGATTCAGATGTGAATCTCACCCAGAGTAATGCTTGAGCAAATGCCTAGGCACAGTGTGGTCCAGTAAAGTTGACACATAAAATGAACCATCACTCACGGATTATGTCATTTGGAACAATCCTGAGAGGAAAAAACAAAGAATCCCCATCTGGCCCTGAGAGACTGGAGGATTGTGGACAGGAGTCAGGCTGGGCTTCAATTCCAGGCTGTCTGGCTCCAGAGCTACACACATGACCACCTCCTTCCAAAGTGAGGGAAGGACCATCCTTCTTGCCTTCACTTCTTGTTAGACACCTACCATGTGCAAGAAGTTATGGAGGAAGTATGTAAAGTCTCTGAGAAAGCCACAGGGTTTCTGTGGGCAGAAGGGGTGTCCTCCACCCTGGAAAATGCTAGAGCAGCCCAGGATCAGGCATGAGGAATGAGCAGAGAGCAGCTTCTCACCAGCCTTCCTCCCTCAACCTCTCTCTGCAGAGCCGCCCAAAGTGCAGGTGACAAGACACACAGCTGAGGATGGGAGCATCACACTGAGATGCTGGGCCCGGGGCTTCTACCCACGGGACATCTCATTGAGCTGGTGGCTGGGGGAGGACGAGCTGGTTCAAGAGACCGAGTATGTGGAGACACGCCCCGGTGGAGATGGTACCTACCAGACATGGGCGGCTGTGCGGGTGCCAGCCAGGATGGAGAATGGGTACATTTGCCATGTGCAGCACTCCAGCTTGAACCATACACTCACTGTGGCCTGGGGTGAGGAGATGGGCTTGGCAGAGGGGATGAGGAGGAGCAGGGGAGGGTCCCAGGGAACCCAGAGACAGTCCCATGGCATGGGGCTGGTGCCCCCTTTTCTCTGCCGTCCTTAGAAGCACCCTCTCATCAGTGGATAACCAGTGCCAAGGTTATCTCCATCATCTTCACCATCACTTTCTTGCTGGTGGCTGGAGTTTTGATTTTCATCAAGCAGTACTCTCAAGGTAGGTAGGGAAGAAAAAAAAAGTGGTGGAGGGTCCTCACAGCCAGCTCAACCCTATAGGGAGGAATGCTCTGCTCCCATCCCTTCCACCAGAACTGTTCTCTCTTGGGGAGAAGCAACTACTATTGAACACCTGTCCCCATCTGTGGAAAAGCCCAAGTACCCCCACCCAATAGCCATACATTGCCCTAAAGACACTGTGGATCACACAGCCAGGGAAGACCACTAGGATTGACCTTCAAAAGACCCGAGAGGGGGAGAGGGAGTGGAAGGTGGGTACCTGGGACCCCCACCTCTGCCTACCACCCACCTAGTCTCTCCTTTTGTGTTCTTTTTCCCATAGCCAGGAATAAGGAATCTTGCAAACAAGCCCCAGGTGATTGTGGGATGGGTGGGTTGGGGAGAGGAAGCCCCAGGTGCTCCCAAGCATGGCTAAGATGCCTGAAAACCAAAAATGGAGGCAGGGTGGTGGGCGGAAGCTTTCTGTCTCCAGCATGGCCTCATCCCTCACCCTCTGCTCCCTCCCACCACCTGGGAGCCAGGTGGAGGGGGCAGGGAGCACTCCATTGAGCCACTGCTGAGTTTGGGAGAGGGCTGGGGAGCAGTCTGGATCACCTCCCTACTTTCTCCCTGCAGGTGGAGAGGAGCCTCATAATTCCCAAAACCCAATGAGCGTGGAGACTGCTCAGCTGCTCTGCTGACACAAGTTCACTGTCACAGATCAAGGAGGTGTTTTATAGAGGGTTTGGGGGCATCCAGTGTGCTAGCTGGCTGGCAGTGGTGATCCAACTCTGAAGGGCCCACCCCACCTCAAAACTGAGCCCTCCTCAGCTCCATCAGCCTCATCACAAGCAGTCTGGGCCAGTAAGATTTGCCATCTTCCTGAAGTCCTTTTAAAAGTCTAATTGTCTCCAGTTTGGGGGCATGGGAAGGAGGGCAGTAATAATTCCTCAGATCGGTTCACACTTGACAATTTGCACGATAATTTCATGTAAAGTGTAAATCCCACCTGAGCCTCTCAGGTACTCTGTGAGTTCGGTGATGGTATTCTCACCTCCACTTCCCCAACATGGAAACCACAGCTATGGGAAGTTAAGGAAGAACCAGAAGAACAGTCAAGGAGTTATGGGGGCAGCATGGCCAAATGCCTACCTCCTTTTATAAATGTGTTCTTGTGTGTATGTATATTTTCTTTTATAAAGAAGATTGGAGTGTTGGGGGGTGTGAGGATATGTGGTTCCTGCAGGGTGAGGGTGGGTGTGTGAGGACAAGGGGGTCCATGATGTGTGTGAGGGTGTGTAGGGA